AAGGCTGCCCAAAGGCTGCCCAAAGGCTGCCCAAAGGCTGCCCAAAGGCTGCCCAAAGGCTGCCCAAAGGCTGCCCAAAGGCTGCCCAAAGGCTGCCTAGTCAGGCGCCGCGCTTCCGCTAGCCCTGCTCATGAGGACCTTGCCTCCGGCCGGGACGGAGTCGGGAGCAGGTGGCGCAGCATCCTGGACCGGCTGATCACGATATGGCAGTGCGAACGGAAAACGATACGGACTCGGGCCGACACTGACTGACTGACCTCACGCACAGGCAGCGGCGGGCAACTAGCAGGACACGAAAACGAATTGGAAGGAAGGGGGGTCATTTTGCAATAGTAATCACAGAGGACTGTCGAAAACAGACCGTCTTATATGGGAAGCTTAATATAATTACAATTTGTCTTCGTCCTCTGCGTCCCGCAGAGAGATGATCTCGGCAGGGGCGGCAAGGAGAGAAGGCGTCGTCAGCGTCGCCTGCGCTCTGGCCTTCCAAATCGCACGCTAATGGGCGGCCCGGGTGTCCAACGCAACACCAATAATTAAAAAGCTATGGAACACACACACACACATGTGCTCCCCTCCTATTCATCCACCCATCTACCCTCTATTCATTCATCCTTACCAGTATCTCCCTCCACCTCTACCACGACCACCACCGCCAACTACCACCACCAGTCACTTTCACCACCAACCACTATCACCACCACCAACAACAATCACCAACAACAACCACCACCAAGAACCACCAACCCAACCCAGCCCGAGCCAACCCAACCCAACCCAACCAACCACCACGTTCTGGCGCCACCCTCATTCTACCTGCTGTACCACGTTCTACTCTCAGCCTGCTGGTAAGTTTAAGTATAGGTCCACTCTATCTACCTGCCAATCAACGTACCTAGCTATTCATATCCACCTGATGATTGTCCATAGCGGGGCATGCGATGGTGGGGGGGTCAGGACGGCGGACCCGGCGTCCTCCGCGACTCATCTGCCGGCCGGCGCGCACAAGAAGAAGAGGGCATTAGTGAGGGCGCGGCGTGGCGCGGCGCGGCGCAGGACCAGAAGTCCTTCGGCGTCCAGGAGGATCCTCGCCCGTCCGGCCCGGCCCGGCCACGGGTGCGACGGAGAGGGAGCGTCCGAGGAGGGGGAGCGGCCGACGGGTTGGATCCGGCCGAGTTGTTCACGGTGGTTTTGTTTTGGGTCTTCCTCCCACCCCTCTATATATACGTTGTCCAAATTGTCCGAGGCACCAGTCACATCACCGCACCGGAGAAGCGAGCACCAAAGGATTAGCTCAGCTCCGCACAACACAACCCTCCAATATGAAAGTGGTAAGTAGTGCCATGCCCATGCGACAACACTAACTGCATCTTTTAAATCCAAGGTTAAAAAAAAAAACAACGGATAAAATAGTTCTCGAAAGATTGAAATCCCTCCTGGCTCAGACTTCGTACTGAGGCCCTCGAAGGAGCCCTCCACTTCTCATTGTCATGCATGCGCTTTGCCGACCTTTGCGGTTCGCCCTTGACTCTGACAATACAAGGGACTGTTTTGCCTCCGAAAACAAACGGGGCTGAAAGGAGCGAACGCGAAAAGGCAACCCGTATTGAAAACACAAAATGGGCTGCGAAACGAAAAGCCTGACTGGGCAATCCCCACCTTGCCGTTGTCCAGGCCGTATCTTTATTTTTGCGAAACTTTTGAGTGGTGCAGCCCCCCTTCCCTCCCCGCTCAGCTACATGCACGGCTCGCCCCGGCGCACGCTCTGCTCGGCTTGGTCACGACGCGGAGCTGTGCGGGGAGGAGGGGGGGGGCAGCCTGTGCCCCTCACGACCACCGCGACGGCATCCTGGCCCCGCCTGAGAGCCTCCACTACTGTGTTCCAGCTGCTGGTGCTCCTGGCCGTGGGGCTGGCCGCCGCCGGCCGCCTGGAGAACACGTACCTGCCGCCGGCCAGCGCGAGCAGCGCCGCCGGCCAGGACCTGGCGCTGCCCGTGGTGCGCACCCACACCGAGGCCGTGGTGGCGCCGCCCGCGCCCCCCTCCAACGAGTACCTGCCCCCCGTCACCGTGACCGAGGCCAGGCTGCAGCAGCGGCCCCAGCCCCTCGGCGGCAGCGGCATCCTCCGCCAGCAGGGACTGCAGTCCACCCTGGGCTCGGGCGCCCCCGCGCCCCTCCTGCCCCAGGCCCAGCAGACCTCCGCCTTCTCCGGCCAACAGTCCTACGGTTCCCAGCAGTCCACCCTGCCCCAGATCTCCCTATCTAAGACTTCGTCCTTCGGAAGTCAGCAACAGTCTTCCCTGCCCAAAATCTCCACCTTCTCTCAGCAGTCGTCGTTCTCCCAGCAGTCCTCGCTGCCCCAGGTCTCCTCCTACTCCCAGCAGTCCACCCTGCCCAAGGCCTCGTCCTTTGGCCAGCAGTCCTTCTCCCAGCAGTCCTCGCTGCCCCAAGTCTCCACCTACTCCCAGCAGTCCTCGCTGCCCAAGACCTCGTCCTTCACCCAGCAGTCTTCGTTCGCGCAGCAGTCCTCGCTGCCCCAGGTCTCGTCCTACTCCCAGCAGTCCTCCCTGCCCAAGACCCCTTCCTTCTCTTTCGGAGCCCAGCAGTCCAGCCTGCCCCAGGTCTCCTCCTTCTCCTCCCAGCCGGCCTCGGCCTCCTTCAGCGCCGGCACCACGTCCTCCTTCGGCAGCCAGCAGCAGGCCTCCTCCTCGTCGGCCGGCCTCCGCCAGGGCGGCTTCTCCTCCTTCTCTGCGCAGCAGCAGCAGCAGCCCATCGCCATCCTCCGTTCCGTCAACATCAACAACGGCGACGGCAGCTACAGCTACAGGTGACGACACGGCCGCCCGCCGCAGAGCTCATTGCTTAAGCTCTTAATCGAATACCTGACGGTCCTGGCCCGGCCGGCTCCAGCGCCCGCTAGTCTGGGCCCGGTCTCGTTCATCGCGCCCGCCGTTACTACCTTGGGCCTCCGCGGAAACTCCGGCCCTATCTTCTCCCTTGTTGCATGGCGGGGCGGGGCGTCGGGGGGCGTCGGGGGCGTCGGCCAGGGCGGCCGTTATCTGCAGATCGACTGGACGCCCGGCCGGCCAGACTTGCCTCACCCAATCGTGCACACGCCGGAGGTGGCGCGGCGCGGCGACCCAGAAGGCGTCTCGGACGCGGCGGAGCCGGGCATAGCGACCCTATGATGGCGCAGCTTCCAAACGCCTGAACCGATTTCCTCTTTGTTGTTGCAGCTACCAGACTGAGAACGGCATCGAGGCCCAGGAGCAGGGCGAGTTCCGCCAGGACGCGCGCCAGGGTGCCGAGGGCGGCGTGACCAACGTGCAGGGCGGCTTCGCCTTCACGGCCCCGGACAACAACCAGCGCTACACCCTCACCTACACGGCCGATGAGAACGGCTTCCACGCCTACGGCGAGCACCTGCCCACCCCGCCGCCCATCCCCGAGGCCATCCTCCGCTCCATCGAGCTCAACGCCCGCGAGGAGGCCGCCCAACAGCAGCAGCAGCAGGAGCAGGGCTACCGCTACCAGCAGCCCCAGGCCCAGGCCCAGCCCCAGGTGGTAGACCAGCGCCAGAGCTACCAGCCATTCCAGGCCAGCCAGCAGCAGAGCTACCAGCAGCAGGGCAGCCAAAGGCAGGGCGCCAGCAACTACCAGCAGGCCTCCAGCTCCCAGCAGCAGGCACCGGCCAGCAACGGCGGCTACCGCTACTAGTGGCGGCCCGGCCCGCGGCGAGTGACTGAACACACGAGTACCTGCGGTACGTGACTGAAATAAATACCGATACCGACCAATTGTCAGCGATGATTGCCCTCCCCGCTCCGACCCGCACAACAGGCACGAGGCACGGGGACAGATCCGCCTCCATCACTCGCTGGATAAACAGGCTGTCGATAGCGCTTGAGCCTCCCCGTTCGCGAGCCACACCATTTCAACGACCCACTACACATCAAACATGCCGAGCAAAATCGCTAAACGTCAGACACAGAGAACCAGCGATGCGTGATGTGTGTCTTAAATTAAAAACATCCTTGTCGAGTTTTCCACTGTCTTCCGGGTTTTACACATTTTAACGATCGGTATGGGAATTGATGAATAAGTACAAGAACGGTCGGACAACAAGAACAAAAGTAAATAAAAAAATCCCCACCACGACGCTCGTTTGGCTTTAGTGATTGGCGGTCGCTTGATGACGGACAATAAAACGACTGGCACCGCAAGCGGCCAATCAGGTCGGCGCATCCATCCGCAGTGTGTCTTGGGGCGGGGCGGGGAGGGGCGCTCGGAACACAACACGGGCACCAGATCAAGGCCGGGACACCCCCGGTCGAGCCCAGCCCAGCCCCCCTCTCCTGTCTCCCGCGAACAGCACACTGCTCCTCCCTCCGAGCGTCCACGAGGTGCGAACCATGCGAACGATTCCCAATGACGGATGAAGCGTCGAGTTGGCGGTGGCGCGGCGCCTCAAAGGCAAGGTAAAGGTCTCTCTCGCTCGCTCTCGGTCTCGCTCGTCCCCACCACCTACGCCGGGTGGAGGAGAGGGACGGCCGGCAGCGACGGGACGCTCCTCGCACCTCAATCAGCTATGCAAAAGTCTCAGCAGATGGCGTGGCGTGGCACACACACCACACACGATCATATCGATAATCGTTTCCGTTCCGATCCAGGATCTTGTTCTCTGCGCTCGGCGCCCTGTCGCTGGCGGCGGCCGGCCGGTGGGGCGCCGATGCCAAACGTCATCATCAACCCCTGGCCTTTTAACGTCGATGCCGGATGGATATTTCGCTCGTCGGCCTAAAGGGTCCAAAGCGGATTCTTCACCATGCACCGAACTTGGCGCGGTTCGTCTGGTTCGTCATCATACGAGGCCGTCGAGGCGTCCGGCTTTGGGAGCGCTCCTGGCGCGCGTGTGCGTCTTCTATGCCAGCCACCTCAGAATAGGCGGAGGAAGGTGTTCGGCAGCTGCCGGTGGAGGCCGGCGGCGCTGCTGTGTGCTGCGCTGTGCTGAGCGGGGCGGCGCGTCGCGTGCGGGCCGCGCGGGGCCCGTCAGGACGTCAGGGAGCTCGCTGGAGTGACGAGTGGCGGTCCTTGCCGCGGGAGCAACCCGACCACTGACCCCCGCGCGCCACGCCATCCGCAGCCAGCACGGCACAGCCCGGCGCAGCCCGGGGGAACGGGTACAAAACAAATGATAAACTTACAACAACAAAAAACGTAACCATATGATTCAGCGCAGAAGAGCGATTTAAACGGGGTTGAGGAAAACCCCAAAGCAGAGCGCAGTCTTGTGGCCACACCGTAACGCGCGTTCTAATAAATGAATGCAGAAAGTACACCCGTTGGTATCACATCCATCCATTCGCAAGTTACGGGAGCTAGGCGCCTGCGAGACTCGGGGTAGGCCTCTCCGCTGTACACGCATGCACTGCAGACAAGATATTGCCTACCCACCAGGCGCCATGAGAGCTTGCATAGCATAGTCTGAACCTAGCAGTTTCGTAACGGCGAATACCGACGGCCGTATATCGTAAAAGATACCTAAGATATGGCGGCAGGGTGTTAGCTACAAATTATGTTACAGTTACTATACCCGAAAGCAAAGGCAGATCTACTTTTAAATGTATCTGTAAAAAGTCCTTGGCAAGCGCGCCGGGACGAGGTACGGCCAGACTGGCCGTGTGTCGTGCTCATCAGTGTGATTAATGAATGGGCGCCAAAACAGAGGGAGAGAGAGAAGGAAAGAGAGGGAGAGAGAAAGGGAA